GTAGTATGTTTATTGCTAATGTTTGAATTAAACAAATAGTCTTTGCAATGAAGTCATTTTATCTAAAAGTTCAAAAGTTTGTCAGGTACAAGAAAAAACACTTCAACAACATGATTCAAAATTTTGACTAATTCTAAATTTTAAGATATTCACTGCTATAAAATTGGGGCACAATTGTTTCATTTAAAGCGCTACTGTACCAGTATTATCATAAAATTTCAAATTGTAAAAGATTAGTCCGTCTGCTGCAAACACATATGTAAAATATACTTTACACGTGAAAGGGAGATCATTCGTAAACATATTATTTAAACAGTATCGTAGTTTTAACGTCCCTTTGTCTTGTACTTGTGCTACATTAAAAATATTTGGTTTTGTCTGTTAGAACATATCTATACTCAGCGTTATTACATATTGATAAATGGACATGGAATTCCCTCAAACCCCACTTATAGTTGCGAATAAAATGATGTATTATTTCAATGAATGCAATCATTAAATTTTTCATCTAGAACATAAATCGTAATTCTGCAAAATGCGATTTTTTTTTAAATGTAGAAAGTAGCCGGCTCTGAATTTGTCTGTTCTGTCAAATTCCTCAATGCTGTATATGGGCTAACGTATACAGTAACAGATTTTTTTATACACGATGTTGATTAAAATATTCATAATAGTTTAAAGCATAATTTTGAGCCCTAATCTCTACCACTCCAACATATTTTTAAGGAATTTTAAGAATTAACCCTCTCGTCAGTTTTCTCTTCCACATCATACGTTCATTAATTTAATTAAGACTGCCTGCTTTTAAAGATCATTTTACAGAAATACTTATACAATGGTACCGCATCAAACAATGAGAATTCTTAAATATTATAATATTTATTTCGTTAGGATTTTGTTAATTAAACTTAACAATATTTTATTGAAAATAAATTCATTTACATAATAAATTGCATTAAAATAAATTTTACGGATTGAGTAGGAATCACAAAAAAACTTTTAAAATGCTCTTTTTGTAATCCGTATTTCACACATAATATATAAATTGTAACAAAATATGCATAATACATATTGGAAGTTAAATATAAATATCTTTTTCTATTGTGTGCTTATTTTTTAAGTTAACTCACTATATTAATGATAAATATTCATGTACTAAATCACCATTTGATGTAAGTAAAATGGAACAAGGGCAACATTCTTGCAAAAAACGTCCGTCACAAAAGCTTTTGTTAGGGATGTTGGCATTATATATATGCATATAGACGATATGCTCTGGGCAATATCCAGTCAATATCTGAATATTTTATCATCTCTAGTGACCATGACCCTGCAAATATTAATCTAAATTACACGTGTCATACTTGTAGTCATGATAGTTATCATTTGTCTTACAATCCATCAATTAATGATGACTAAATGGTCCCCATACACAATCTCTCTATGTGACCTTGACTTTGGTAGCAGGGACCTGGATTATGTGCACAATACTTAGCTTCACAATAGTAGTCATGATAATGACCATTTGTGTTTCAATCCCTCAATAAATGTCGACTAAATGGTCCGAACACACATTTTCATCTGCATTTTAACCCCTATGTGTGACCTTGACCTAGGCAACAGGGACCTAAAATATGATAAACAAGATCGACAAGGAAAGGCGGCATTCAATGAACGCAGCCCCCATCCGACCCAGCAAGTTTTGCTTGCGACACTCATCCTACAATGGTGAACATTTGTGCAAGTTACTAGTATACTGAAATCCTTCTATGCATGTAGAAGTTTTGCTCCGTACAAGCGTTTTTCAATGACCTCTAAATGTGACCTCGACCTTTGACCTAGAGACCTGGGGGCCGTTTTATCATCGTGTCGTAGTCTACGACAATTTTTTGTCGGTGTCATACGTCTGCGACAATGTCGTACGACCGTTTTATGAAACGTGTCGCAGACGTTGTGTTTCTGCGACGTCGCAGCCTTTGTCGTAGACAAAATTCACGCGAGACACAGTCTAGCCAGTGCGCGCTTTGACGTCACATATGAAATCAAAGTACTAAAAGTATTGATGTAATTTACATGACTATTATCAAACGGATAAATTTACCTGATTATTATAAAACGGTTAAATATTTTTAATGTCATTCAAAGAACATTTTAGTGAAAAATACAACACTCGATTCACCCCTTAAAATATTATGTCACGCTACCGTTCCACCCTTAACTGAATGCGCAGAAGCGTTTTTTTTACCAGAACGAACACGGGTTTTATAACGTTTAAATAACTATTTTAAAGCATGCAGCTGCTTATGTTGAAGCGGTGAATATAAAATTATTAACCAAAAATGTCAACAAAGTTGAATTTGACTTTTAAACAAAATATTTAATAACTATCACAACTTAATAATAAAAAATTAACATACGCAAAAGATGGAAACGACCGATCAGCCACTTTTGGAAACTAAAAAATCAAAAGCATTTTTAAGAAACGCCAAAAGGTATGTTTATAGTACTTTAATAGTAAATTAAAAGCTAACTGTCAATTTTAAATAGCACCGGACTTTTCAAGTATATCGTGTGGCGATAAATCGGAACCTCGGAGTTAATACGGATTGAAAGTAGTTACACCACGTAAGGAACACGCACATTTTCTCAAACTTTGCTGTTACTCAACTAATTTTAACGAGATAAGGTGCAGAATACCCGTGACTATACAAGCTACCCACAGTATATAAAAAAAAAAAAAAAAAACAACCTGAATTATTATTGTCGGAAGCATTCGAGTATAGCAATTTTTCATAGTATTTTCCGAGAAGTATACGGTACACACTCGAATATAAGAACAAGCGACTAACTGGTCCCTTGTCTTTCTCGTTGTTTGAAACAAAAAATATAATATAGTATAGATATACCATTGCCAATGCATCGAAATAATAAATTGCTGTTTTGATTTTTTTTTTGTTTATTTTGCTTTATTAATTGAAACGGAACACGCTGTTTTGTATTCTGTTCCAATTTGTAATCTTAATGAAATATTTCACTTTAAATTGTCATGTATATTTGTTTGTTAGTGTTTTTTTTTCGGAATGATATTAATTGTTTATAGGTATTTATACATATATTTCATGTAGTATTTTAAATAATCCCCTAATCCCGGCATTGTTAATACAGTTCCGATACTATATTTTTTCAAGTCTTAAAAAGAATTGAAATACATAATTAATATATCATGCAGTTTGTGCAGACTTACATTTTTGTTTTGCCTGTATTTCTAAAGAAAGTAGTGGTGAATGTGAAAGTATTAAAATTGTTATTGGCAAAAATTAACAGAATCAAACGATAGTTCAGGTTAATGATAATGGAAATAGAAATAAAAATAAAAAAAATTAAAAAATATATATAAATAAAAAGCTTTAAAAAATAAAAGCATTTCTATGGCTTTATGGGCCTTTATGAAAGGATTTTTGCGCGTTAGAAACAATTGTAGCTGCTTTTTTAAGAAACGCCAAAATTAGGTTTATAGTACTAGCTATCATGATAAAACTAATGATTTGTACATATAAATTACTTTAATGACACCCAATGTTTCTAGTATGACGTGTGGCGCACATTTTTACCCATTTTACGAGGATTTCAATACACACAAGATTTCTAACAAGTTCTGTTCATTCTCGTTGTTTGAAATAAATATATATAATACATCTTATAGATTTACTATTGCTAAAGAATCGAAATAATGAATTGCTGTTTTGACATATTTTCGTAAAGGTATATTAAGCGCACTGCTTTTTAATTGAAACGTAACACGCTGTTTTTGTTTTGTTACAACTTGTAATTTATATGAAATATTTCACTTTAAAATGTAGCTTTTTTGTTGTTGTTGCGGTTTTTTTCGGAAAGCGAATTTGTTTTTCTCATAGATTAGCCTGGGTTCCAGTCTGTCGATTTTTTATGTGCTTCTTGTCGGCAAATCGACATATGAGCCGCGTCACGACAAAATCAACATAATGCGTTTGCGACCAGCATGGATCCAGACCAGCCTGCGGATCCGCGCAGTCTGATAAGGATGCTTTCAACTCTATAACAAGTATAGATAAACTGATAGCGAACAGCATGAATCCTGATCAGACTGCGCGGATGCGCAGGCTGGTCTGGATCCATGCTGGTCGCAAACCCATTATGTTGGTTTTGTCATGGCTCATATATTGATACTATCAAAACCAGTGATGTTGTGTTATCTATGAGTATCGAGTATGAAATAGCGCGTAAGTTATGAATAACAAAAATATATCAACGCCTGAATCCCAGGCTACGTATATCTCATGTAGTTGTAGTATACTAAATAACTCCCAACCCCGGGACTGCAAATTACGTAGTTACAGTTCGGATTCTAGATTTTTTTTTAAGAATTAAAATGCATAATTAATACACCATGCAAATTGTGCAGACTGAATTATTATATCTTCACTGTATATTGCAGTTTATCATAAAATTTGATAATTTAAACATTGGTGCTTTTCATCCACGGTAACTTTTGGTTAATGTCGCCTTGTCTTTTTGAACTTTTTTTTTATATTCTATTGACTTTTTTTTTTCTTTTTAAAATTGTTCTTCCGGGGTCATGACCACGGTAACTTTCCGGTGTATACCATATGGGTTTTCTTCAAAGAAATATCTAAATTTATGTAAAATTTAGTAAAAATATTATGATTTTTCCAAATGTGAAATAAAAAAGATGTGAGTAAATTTATTTTTATTCTATATTTTTCGAAGAAATCTTCGGAACTCATTATTAACAGAATAGAGTATGACCCTAAGGGCATATTTGCTCCAAATGAACGATATTTTAGACATTTTTATAAGGTATAAGATTTGTATATTCTGTTTCTTTCTATACTTTGAGAGCATGTATAAAGCCCTTATATAAGCGTTTGACATTAAAAGAAAACAAAAACAATTGAAATATGTTTTTTTTTTTATTCTGAAAAAGTTATTTAATAAAAATAATGTGCTGAGCATGTTTACATGTAAACAGTGATCGCCAGTTTTGACGTCACAGAAACGTCGTACGACAGCCCCAACCCTGTCGTAGAGCTGCGACATTTTCTACGACGTCGTAGGCTACGACAAACGTTAATAAAACGGTTTTAACGTTCTGCGACATGTCTGCGACAAAAACTAGTCTACGACGTGTCGTAGAGCGTTGATAAAACGGCCCCCTGGTTTATGCGAGTGACACTGCTTTTTATAATGGTGAACATTTCAATAAAGTTTCATTAGAATCTCTCCATATGTGTAGGAGATATGCTTTGGACAAACTCTTCATTTTATCACCTTTAGTGACCTTGACCTTGCATATATTAACCTAAATTACATGTTTCGCACCAATAGTCATGATAATGACCATTTATGTTCCAATCCCTCAATAAATGATGACTTAATGGTCAAAATACACATTTTCATATTTTAATCTGAACTTTGATCACTATGTGTGACCTTGACCTTGGCAGAAGGGACTTACATTTTGCACGCAACACTCCTGCTTACCATAGTGAACATTTGTGCCAAGTTATATTGAAATCTCTCTAAGCATATAGTTTTGCTCCGGACAATCGTTTTTCAATGACCTCTCCGTGTGACCTTGACCTTTGACCTAGAGACTTGGTTTGTGTGCGCAACACTCTTTCATATAGTAATAAACATTTCTATGGATTTTTCCTTTAAATTCCTCAATGGGTGTAGGAGATATGCTCCGGACAAAATTTGGACGCCGACCACCCGGCCGCCCGCCCGCCAAGGGGAAATTAAAACGACCCGTTCTTTCAAACGGACGTATAAAATTTGTTTGATATTTGTTAAGAACACATTGAAGAATTAATCTAAGAAATTAGAAATTGCTTACTTTAAAGGCACATTACTCCTAAGAAATGGATAGATATTTCGTTTCTAGAAAGGGCAAATTTAAGTTTTTCTTTTAGTAAATTATTTTTGAGCAAGTGAGAAGACAATTTACAATATTCGCAGAGGGCTGCCTACAAATCATTATTGTGAAATTGAGTCCAAATCTATCAAATGGTTAGGAAGAAGTTGTTTATCGAAAGAAATGATGACGATGAACGACGGATATACTGACATCACAAAATCTCGCTTCTGAGTACTTTGTGTCCAGAGGAACTACAATGAGATATTTTCATAACAGTCAGTGGAAGATAAATTTACATTAAATATTTTATGTCTCGGTTACCGTAAGATTGTATTGAATATAAAAATAAAAGTATTTCGATTAAAGAAATATTTTACGAGATTTAGCAATTACACAAGGACAAAAATGACGCGAATTCCATGTTTATCCATTCCAAACTACAATAGTTAAATTATTGCACCCGTATTCATTACAATTGGCTTACTTTGATCGATATTCTTACATTACAAAATGCTTTTGATAGTTCACAACACAGTTATATATAAGAAAATACATACTGTATATCATGGGGCGATTTCATTGCGTATTTACGCAAATACGCAGCTTATCTAGAGTTTGTAATTTAATTCACTAGCACTTTTAACGTATAAAACTATAAACTCTGCAAGAAACGGAACACCACTTCTTTGTGTTAAAGACTAATAAAATTCATTTTCAAAAACGTTCTATGTCTGTCTTACACGAAATTATGTCAAAGCCATTTTTAACGAAAATAAGATGTTTTACATACATACTAATCTAAAAATGTTTCAAACGATAATATTTTCCAATCAAGCACTGAAAAAGTTTCTTTACTTCTGGAAATATTTTCTCGATTAGAATTTTAGAATTAAGATGTAAATGGACACATATCTGTATTTCTGCTGCGTACACGATAGATCTTCTTGATTGGCACATTTTCGGTTTTTCGAAGGTGTTGCTTGTCTTTGAAAAAAATGCTCATATGTAGCACAGTTTTAAATCTGGTCAGAACAACACCACTGATAGTCTTAAAGTGTGTCTCATTTTATGATAAAAACGACTAACAACAGAGATAAAACCGTCAATTTGTATACTTCGTTTCATTTTCGCTACATTTTGATTGCATCACCGTTGTTATATCTCGAAGAAACAAAAAAACCTGGAAAACATGTCCTGTCGTGGCCCTGAAAGTTTGCTTTGCAATGTTCTTGGATACTGTTATTATGTCACCATTGAAATATTGAATTTGAAGTTATTCTAGCCATGTAACTCGCAAATGTCATTTTTATTATTTGTGAAGCTTGAAACTTCAGACAAATTATATAGTTGTGTTGTATTGACCATAATGAAGTCTATAACTTAAAAAAATATTTATTAGAGCCACTTTTAAATCGGTTTTAGTTGTTTTGCAAGTAAGTTAAGACGACGATTTGCTAAACATCTTTCGTCTTTTGCCATTTCAGCACACATTTTCAAACATTTTCCTTTGTCGATTATCCCAACGTTTAAATGATGTTTTTGGTAAGATGTCAGATACATTCTTAATTCGCTTTTTGTGGCGTTCAATTCATTTGCTATCAGCTCTAGGGAACTTTCATCGATGCAAAACTTTTTCCGGTATGCATCAAGTAATTGAGAGTCAAAGTTAAATGTCAAAGACCAACCGTAAAGGAAACCAATGAAACCTTTGAATTTATTCTTGCACGATTCTTGGTCTTTCTTTATTTGTCTTTGAACTTGTTCATGTAGTAAAGCTTTGATGACGCTTGCATTGATGCTCAATAAATATTTAAATTCCTGATCGAAATTACTAAAATCGTACACTTCTCTTTCGGGAGAGCTGACCAAAAACACATTACTAACAAAATCTGGTATTCCCCCAAGGCGAATGTTTTCTGATAAATTATTTCTTATTTTATCTAGGCATTCAGTTTCATTGAATATGTCTGGATACGCCCGTTTAATGTTCGCAATGTCAATGTCAATTTTTGTTCGAACAAAAATAATATTTTTGCGTATGGTACGCAACTCTTTTCCCAACCATATATCATTTTCTTGGAATCGCCCAGCTGTAACAATTATAACCACGTCAAATCTAGGAAAATTCATGTCATTGAAATATTTCTCTTTTGTGAGGCTTTGTGTTTCCATGCCAGGTAGTTCCCAGAGAGCTACCCTTGGATTTTCAGGATAGATGTATTTCATACCTTTTGTTGTTGAGTCACAAACACCAACAGCAGCCGCCCCTTCGTGCGAAGGTTTTTAACTTTCTAAGAGCATTGATGAGACTGGATTTTCCACCACCAGAATTGCCTGTGACAGCAACATTTAATTCCATGTCAGCCCATTTTTCAAAAGAATTCTTGATGTAATTGTTTAGACCATGCAAGACTCCCGCTTTTTCCATCTCTTTCTTCAGGCCATCTTTGTCAAAATATGAACGGCATTTCTATGAAAAAGTGCATACCTTGCGTTAAAAGCGTATTTGAACGTTCTATTTATATACACAAGCGGAATGAAATTATTCAAATAGTAATTTATAATACTTTGGATAATCTTAAGGTTTTATACCAGAATTTTTTAAAGCGGAAGAAATTGGGGTCACCAAAACATTATGCCGAATAATTTATCAATTAAATTGAATAATATTTCAAGTCATTTTAAAGGCAGATAATGATAAATTCAATTCGTCAGACAATCTTATTTTTACCATAAGTATATGTCTTACAATTTTATCCTTGGTCAGAATATAAGATTTTATAGATTTTATAAAATGTCATTAAATATTTCCATCCTATATTTATTTGATATATGAATTTAAAATTCGTTAACAATAGGCTAGTTTTAATAATTGACATAGTTTAAGGTAAGAAAAAAATAATAAACTACAAATTACTCTTTACCAATTATTTGAGATTTCGCAGAAATAAGCAGTTTTTTAAATTTTAAGCTCCATAAATCTACCTCTTAGTATCGCTTCATCATGTTCTTGTTAAGTGTAACGACGGGTTAATTTCGAGCAGTCGATAGTATTGTGAAGTTTAAACTTACGTCATATTTAAGACCTGACAGGAATTTATTTTCAAAACGACCTTGAACTTCATTCGTTTCGTCTTTGTAGGTTCCTGTCATTTCATCTGACAGGGATTTATTTTCAATACGACCTTGAACTTCATTCGTTTCGTCTTTGTGGGCTTCTGTCGTTTCATCTTCTGAATAACACTCGCTGAAGATAAGATAAACATTAAATTATTAAATAATTATATAAGGTACTTAGTTTATTGTCAAAATCTGCAGCCTTTGCGACATATAGCTCCACGATACACTATTTTCTTTAACCGATAAATGCTAAAATAAAAATCTTAAGTCGTAGTTCATGAAGTTTTTTTAGTTGTTTACTTAATATAATCTTTTTAAAGTGGGTGGCCCACATAGGGCATTTAGTATTCTTTTTGTTAACCTTTCGTCTTATGTCTATTTTTCTGTCTGGAATTCAAATCTTATAACACATTGTTTAGAATTTCCGAGTTGTGCTTGTTGTTAAAAGGTGACAGTTTAAGTATTGCTTTGAACGATTGGTCTTCTGGCGACTTACTTATAAAAAAGATTACAATTCACCAAAAGGCACATATCAGTTATTTCTTTTTATATTCAAATTGATACTTTCTTTATGTATATTACATGAAATAATAATGAATATTCACACAAGCATGCATATGAACAAGAAATTCTTATAACATCATTCAAGAAATCTGTCATTGATAAATCTTAATTTGAGACAAATCGTTGTTAAATACACAAAATTATATACCTTGATAGTGATACATTCATTTCGTGTGCCGACTGCAAAGTTTCCCTGAAAGACGTCCCGATTTGTTTCCTTTTCTTGACTAAACTCGCATCTAACGATCTTGACAATAAAAATATAAAAGAAGAAACAATTAGAACGAATGGAGGTTTTGACATGATTAAAAACAAAAGAAAAGGAGTCAACAAATACACTTAGAAGATAAACATGTGAAGTACAATAAATAAAGGCAAATCGGTATCATTTACTTTTGAACACTTTGTGGGTTGTAGTTAACAGCATTACATAAATAATAAGGGAAATTGCCGAGAGTGGGATTAAGTTTATATATAAGTTAAAAAAAACGAAACCACTACCCTTCATTAACTATCGCTTGACTACACACTTAAAATGATATCTAAAGTAAGATTTAAAATTGCAGTTAGGCATTTGTTTCCGTTTATTGTTGATAATGATAGACATTATTTTCACACAACGTTAAACCACATTTTTAGCACTCTTTACAGACATAAATTTTGACGGGTTACATGTGATACAATCATTAATATTATTTAAAAACATTAAATCTGTAACATATACGCTATTGATTGCCGCTTTAAAATTGGTAGTGACTTGATTGTGATCATATTCGACATAACAAATATCATTTTACTATACTTTACCACAAAATTCAATATCTGAAAATTTTGAAAACAAATTAAGTTTATAAATATGTTGAAACTTTTTAAATATGTAGATACTATTTTAATTTGATATAAAAGAAAGTGTAAAATAAATTACGACTCCTTAAGTCATAGCAGCATGTATCGTCAACATCATAATATTTTAGTCAATGAACCCAAATGACCAGAAAACTTGAAAACACAGATATGAAGATGAGCAATGGAAATAGTAGACACTAACATGTTTAAGCATTTTCGTTATTTATCTATTTAAAAAAGAACTACAGTTTTACAAGGAGCTACACTTATGTTGAGACTTGCCAATTGCGTAATCATAAGCTGGGGGCTGTAATGAACCAATGGTTTTTATCATGTTCACACAAGTCGTACGCAGGACATTTACCAATTTATGTATCTTCTTCTGACGAAGGCAAATAATTATCAGAGACATAGATGTATATCTATATTATATAGACACATTCTACTTTCGGTTTGACATGTACTGTTTTGTACCTCTTATTTTATTTCAAAACAATAGTATCTCCTTATTACGGTATGCGGAGATTAGCAATAACTGAAAACAACTTAATGAATAAGTCTTACCCCATCCACAACCACACATTAATACAGTTTACTTTCGATCACGAATGCAAATACTATTCGTTGAAATTTAAAACCAGCACTTTTTCAAATATCAAGGGTAATGTAGTCAAATTTGTCGCATAAATCAAATAAAACCAATTACTGTAAATAGATTTAATTGAGCAATTTTGAAATTATAAGCCAGACAGTATATGACCTATGACTTCCAAGTGACCTTAAATTTGAGAACGTGTGTCTTACACGCAACCATACTTTACCCTTTTTTCGATATATAGGTATCAACGAAATGACACATATTACTCTAGTGTTGAACAATATGTAAAGAAAAATCAACTTAAGTATTACTTAGATTATAACTATATCTGTAAATTATAAGTTAAGAAATCGTTTTCCGTTATATAAAAAATAAACATTGGATATGAAACTCACTTTTCACGCGTTGTCAATGTTGAATCTTCATCTGTTTCCTTTGATTGTTTCACAGTATTTTTCTTAACCTTTTTATTGTGTTTACCGGATGGAATTTGTGCTAAAACCTGTTCGATGGATCGAAAAACAGCAGCAATTATAACAGCAAAGAAAACAAAAACAAAAATCCACCATAAATTCTCCATTACTTCCTTCCTGTTGTAACACGCCACAAAGATAATGACGATCGGCGAAGATAAAACTATATATAAAATTATATTGACAGTATTGATATTACGTGCATGATCACCCGTGGTTTATTATTTACACGGTGAAACAGGTATTTCAATGATAAGTAGATTGTAAAAAAAGATTTAGAGGAATGATTTCATGACTTATATTAAAATACAGTCAACATTGTATAACGAAATTTAATGTATAAAGCACAGTAAAATGAACCTTTTGTACTTTTTGAATGAAAACTATTCAATTTTCTGTATGTACATGTTAATTTTAAATCTTTTATTTCATGCTACTGGTTTTATTTAAAAACAGTGTTTGTCATACCATAAATTTTATAAACATGTTCTATATATTGTATCTGATATTATATCTGCAATTGTTTATGTTAAGTTATCAATATTTGGTTTTATTTTGTTTAAATCTGGACAGACGTGTTAGGGGAAAGGAAATTAGCCAACGATTAAGCATGATCGATAAAAAAATATCTGGCCAAATTACCTAAAAATCAATCGGGTCACGATCAATCCTCACACTGTAGGCTAAAACCTACAATTAGGAGTGGTCGGAAAAGCTTACAGATCCTGTTCGTTGTATTTCAGGTTGATACCACACTAAAAGGGTCTCAACTGAGTTTTTGTGACATGTTTGGACTGAAAATATTTTTCCAGATAAATGTACCATTTGATGTAGGTTTAGACCATTAATCTTTGTGCAAAATTTCAGATCATTTTTCCAGAATAATAATTGAAATTGTAAAATATGACCCAAAGTGAAAGCGTTTATTATTAACGCTTTTCACTCAAAAGAAAAGCATAAAAATACAATTTATTTTAAAGTATATTTCTTAAGTATTTTTGCATATTTTTCTGTTAATGTGCCCCAGCTCATTTATGTAAGAAATTCAAATGCTATGTTTTTAGGCTTTTAAACCTCAGTAGAGTCCCTTTAAGTGAAATTTTATATATGTATATATGCTTCTAAAACAATTTTCAAACATCTAAGAATATGTAAAATATGTACTGCAAACATTTGTCCACACTATATATGTAATCATTTAAATATATGCATTCATTTCTCATTGAATAAATTGTCTTAGACATTATAGAAAATAAATTTCTTATTACCTCTTTTAATTAAAATGAAAATTGAAATTCGGCAATATCTTTACAAATAATGCTTTTTTGGAACTTACAATCCTAATTTGAGCAATATAATTTGGATATAAAACCATAAAATAATTGAGTAACAGGATCTTTAACAGGTCAAGACAATGATGTAATTAACCATTAACCTTAGGTGATTATGTACTTGTCACGGACAATGACGCTATCAAGTAAGCTAAATCATTTTTCGTTTCAGACATGATATGAAAAACAAGGTCAAGGAAGGGAGACATTCAATGAACGCATCCTCCAACAGAGGACTACCGGCAGGGAATCTAGCAGGATAGACCGAATAACCATTGTATGCCCGTTGTGTCTATTTTAGTCATATGTGGCAGCGCGATAACCGAGTAGCGTACGTAGATTTAGAACTCAATAATAAACTTTAAACTTACTACTAGAAACATTCAATAAAATATGTTATCAAAATTATGTAAATATGTCCTTACATATATCTAAGGTAATATTTATCTATCGTAAAACATAAAAAAATTGCACATGAAAGAAGGTAACAACCGAGAAATAACATAAGAAAATCACAATATGTCACTCTGTGTTTTTTGCAGATATTTGAATCCATGAATAAGGGTGTATAAATTAAAGATCCTTGCATCAGATATTATTAAATCAGTTTATATAAAGGCCGTATTGTAAATATCTCCCGAGGAGAAGTAGTTATGTTTACGTTTAAAAGAAAAATGTTTTTGCATATTGTAAGTGACAATGTTGAATAGCCTATTTAAAGGTAGAACGTTTACAAAATGTGGTCCTATTGAATAGAAAAAATGCAAATAAAACATACGATATATTGCGTGCACAAAAGTGTGATAAATTATAATATGTTGTGATTGAGATTCCTAAATCAGTACAATGAGGTTGTAATCAGATTATTTCAGTTGTATATTTCTTGCTTACATAAGTTTTGAAAAATTAAATCATTATTAATATTCTGTATCAAGCAAATTCATAGCTAGCTCAGAAAAAAAATGCAAAAACAAACACCCCTTTACTATACTTTTATCACTTACTGACATTAACTCAATATTTCAATTTTATATACGTATTTTTCATTACTGCAAATAAAAATATGGCAAATATTACCTTATGTTAGGTATTTATGGAAGCGATAGGTATGTTTGAGAAACTTGCTAGTAATGAAAATATTCTGTTCGTTAAAATTGTTTCAAAGCCGGTCGAATTAATCAAAGATACATATACCACATACAATTTTGAATGTGATACATCGCTATCTAACTGTAGATAATTTACTTAACCGAAATCGAAGTCATCTCTCATATCATAGATTTTCATTTGAATGGTGTAATCATGAAATGTTACATAAATAAAATTTTAATATGCAAATTACTCATTAGACACGTAATGTACAATATTTTCAAAATACAGTCAATACCCAAAAGAAACATCTACGTGATTTGGCCGTTTCTGTATGGTGTCCTGCTTGGTTCCTTGCCGGAGGTCCTGTGTTGGAGAATGCGTTCATTTAAATGCCCCCCTTCCTTGTTGATCTTATTTTTCATATAAATCATGTTCATTTCATTTTGTTTTGACAATACAAAACATTAATGTATATACATTCTATAAAAATAGAGAGATAGAGATATATATTTAAAGAGGAACACAAATATCTTTTAAGATCCTGAAAGTAATTCAATAGTATCTTACAACTATTGTAAAACGATATTAATGCCAGACCCATTTTTAAAATATGATTAAAATAATCTATTTCAGTAGATATTAAATAACACTATCATAGAACTTCATGAACATACTTATTTTGACAAAATTTTCATCTGCTAAAGGGAAACAACTATTTTAATGTGATGTTCGATTAAGAGTTGTTACTCTTGTCATGAATACTTTTTGCATTAATATCATAAGGAAGGAAAACATGGCCAGAGATCATAAAGAAAAAAGAAACAAACAAGGCAGATGGTGCAGTACCAAGTAGATCAAGCCTAAATAAAGATCATATAACATAAGTCTTGATGAGGTAGCAAAGAGACATATTTGCCCCTTAAATTGTTTTTTTTTGTGTGTGTTCTTTTTTTTTATTAAATAATGAGTTCTCAAAAGAAGAGCGACATCATAAATTTGAAAAAAATTGAACGCTTGGAAATGGATTCTTTAAATTGCATTGATAAAGAGTCAGTATACTTTCCCAACAAAACTAAATTGAATGCTGCATTATTCAAGTGTTATTAAATGTTTCATAGCTTCAATATGGTTGTGGCAGAAAGAACGTGTATAATCATCCTTTAATATACTCATATTATGTAAAAGATAACCTGTTCCCAGTATCCCGTGGTTAACGTTATACTGACACCATTGTAAATTTCAATCAATTGTAATATTAAAAGGGAATCATCATTTAGAGTTCATCTTCCATATGTATCCATGGGTAAAAATACGTCTTGACCAACTTGTAAATAACTTATTAATTACATCCTGTTTAGACAAATAATAAGCTTCATACATGTTATTTAAATGAATAGTATAAAAAGAGGAAGTCGATGCGTCGCTTGGATTCTATATTATGCACATGCCTACTTCCATGTTTTAGATAAACTGAGTAATTGTTTTATTCAAAATGTTTTTAAAGCCTCGTAATTGCAATACAGCTTTTGTAGAGCCTGGAATGAATATTTCACTGCCAAACATTAACCCTTGAATGCAATGATGTAACACAGGTTTGTGATAGATATTCGAAATAAATTTTACCGAGTAAATGCAGAGTCAGAACTTTTTGAATAAGTTCCTTCCAATATATCGGTTGACTACTTAAAAAGATATATTCATATGTATTCTAAGCTTTAAATTCCCCATTTTATGTTGTTGTTTTTTGTCTTTTGAAGTACGTCTTATCTATGATATGCGGGCTTCATAACCTCTGATTCCCTTTAAAAATTCCATTTTGTTTAGTTCCGCCCATTGTTTTCTCGCTTAAGGCACACGCATGTTTTATTTACTAGAGGACCATACGCCGCTTTTCATGGAGAATCATTAAATGTTTCATGATAACCGCCGTATGATCACAGTTTCACTCTTTTCATGTTTAAATGTTAAATTCTGCTTAAGCCAGTAGCAGTGGGCGTGGACGGTAGTTTACAATTTCCAGTATCGTCCATACTGTATTGTGTGCCATTTTACTTATGATATCGTGAAATAGGAATATATTAGTTTAGATTCTGTTACTCTGTGTGGGAAGTGTTTTTTTTTGGACATCATATTAGACATTGGTAATTGATTAAATCTGAGTTGTGGACAATTTCGAACTGCGAGATAAACTTTAGGACATTTGTTAAATATGAATCGTGGATAATTGTGAGTGAAACTTTACTTTCATATTTTTCTATAATATTGTAATTAACTGTTTTTCTTTAATCAAAAATTGTAAAATTTGTTGCTGCGTTATTTTCTCTGTTGCATTTAGATCGTAACAAAAAATTATATTGACAGTATTACATGTATGATTACCTGTGGGTAAAATGTTTACACGGTGAAACAGGTATTTCAATGACAAGGAGAGAGCGTATTGATCATTATAAAAATAACTGGAATAATGATCGAAAATACAGTTAAGCTTGTAATAAGAAATTGTAAAAAAAGCAGTGTAAAATGAACCGTTTTAACATTTCGAATGGAAGCTACTCAATTGTGTTGTATGTACATGTAAATTGTAAATCATATACTTCATGCCAGTGGTTTTATTCAGAACAAAGTGTTTTGTTTGTAATTTTATAAACATCTCTGTATATTGTTAGTGATATTATAACTGTTTATGTTCAGCT